GCATCTTAACAGATGTTGTACTCCAAAAGCTACCTGCACTGTACTCCCATCTAGATGTATAGATATGATACACCAGTGCTTCAGTTCAGGATAATATCCGAAAGGGCACTTTAAAGAAGGCTGTATTATTTGCCTAGTGCCTGGTATATCATTCTAATGGCAAGGCCTGCATTTTGGAGGAGCATTGCAACAGGTGGCTTCATATGGGATGTAAGGTCAAATTCAACCCTGCAAAGTCAGTATTCTTTATACAGGCTTTCATGTCCAGCACCAGCATATGTATTGCCAGGAAGGAAAGGTCTGTAAGAGACAGCTCTGAAGTCTGAATTTCAGTGAGACACAGAATTGTTAAATTAAGTCAAGTCAAATTGACAAGAAGTTAGAGAGAGACAGAAAATGCCTTTTGAGCCCATGGTTTTGATGAGCCTATTAGCCAGAACACAACTTCCTTCAATCCTGCTAGTTTGGGCATTTTTAAGTTCATAGCCACCAAGAGGGCAGAATTGGGTCTCAGACATTTCTCACAAAGCTAGAGTGCTGTACGAGAAAGCTAAATTCTTTGTTCAGTTCTAGGGAGATATTTTTCTAGATTGGGCTGGAAACATTCCCATGAGAAAAAGGCTTACCTGCTTCAAAGGGCATCCCTCAAGTTTCTAAATGAGCATTTATAGCTTTAGATGACTATTGCTATTTAACATTAACGACGTTACCTAGGCCATTGGAGGACAACACAACGAAACAAGAGCATGTCAGTCAATAGTTCTCTGCTAGCTCATTTTTCTTAATTTCTGAGTGTGATTCTGACTGACGAAGATAATCTCCATAAATTACACCAACTTTGGCACCTGTTTGAAGTCTGTAGCCCTCTTCCCAGGTGCTATTTGTATTATCATACACATTTCATTCAAGTTCCAGATCAAAACCCCTACTGAATGCGTCTCACTGTGCTGTGTCTTCACAACACAGGCTTTTATGGAAAACGGGGCTATGCAACCTTTATTCTAAAATAGGGCCAAACAGCAAAACACAAGTTATACTGGGTTTCTTTTAAGTTCCTTTGTTATACCTGATTGCTCATAATTGAAAATGTAGTTGTATCTGTGTTCCTGGCTCCATCAATAAGCCACTCTATTTTCTTACTATTCTGAAGCACTCACCAAGCTTCTGCTAATAATTTTGCTTGACCTTTATTAAAGACCAAGCATTAGCTGGCAATTAGATTTGGTGACCCCTTTGGTGATAGAGGGTCAGTGATTTACTGTAAATTATAACTAGTTCAAATGTTTCATTATGTTTATTCTTTATACAAGCTTTGTGGCCAGGTAAGCACTGACATGGCATTCACTGTTAAATGATCTCATTAAACTTCTTAATTTAAGTGGTGCAACACTTCACTTGCCACATTATCCAAGGACTCCTGCAAAGCACATTAAACATTCAGCATCAAGAGATGCTCTACCATAGTTGACCTTGTTGGGAGTGAAATTTCAGTCCCTGAACATAAGGTTGACTACCTGATGCTGTTTGTCAGAGACAATAAATAATGCAAATAGACACCCATGTACAGCAAGAGGTTAAAGACATCAATATCTTTCCCACAGACTTTTGAAAGAGGCTCTCAAAAGAAAAGACTTTAAATCATGAAAAAATGCCACTAAAATTTTAAAAAGTGACGGATAAGGAAGGAAGGTGCTGGTTTCTTCCATTTCTTTATGAATGCAATGACTGAGAGATCATTTCTTGAGAACCCTGAAAGCATCTGCGCTTTTTTTTTCCACAGCTGCCGAGCCAAAGAAGGGGCAGTCACACAATCTCCCACCCCAAAGCCACTTGTAGAGGTCTGTCTTTAGCCATTTCATCCCTCATTTTTCTGCTGAGAATGTTTAACTGAGCTGAATGGAGTCAAGGTTGAATAATGCACCATGTCACTTCACTCAGGCCAATAAATAGCACATTGCCTCTTGACTAAACGGAAACACGGCATTCTTGCTGGAGGTGCCTTTATGTCCAGACTCTGTTTGCCAGTGATTTCTACTGCAATAACAACTGGAAGCACATGGATCAGGATGTCCTTTGCGTTAAGGTCTGGACCTACAGACGACACGTCACAAACAAAACATTAAAGCATGAGGAAGAATAATAGGGGTATCTGAATTTTCCCTGCTAGCATATGTTTTATTTTACGCATTTTTAATTGTTTTCCTCCCAAAACAAATGGTTCCAATATTTTTCCCCCTGCCTTTATATAGTATGATCCTTGACATCTGCTTCTGGCCATCTCTTCCAAAGGATGAAGGGCTCCTAGCAATTGTAATGTAGCCTGTGAACATACGAGACTGCTCCCCGGACAGATTGAGGCTTCATCATATAGTATTAACCCCACATACTGAATGTGTTTTTCTGACTTATACAGCTGGATTAGCTTTTATTATCGGAA